CTCCGGTAGAATGAATCCGGAGCAAGAAATTTCCATTTCCTTGAATAAAAATCAAAACAAAAACCCTCCCCACAACTGAAAATACCGCTGAGTGGATTTGACTCAGTCTACGTGAGAACGTCGTTTACTCAAAAGTGAGTCAACATAAGGCTACACAATTTTGAGTAGCCCTACTTGCAGCTGAGATGAGTACATTCAACGCAATTTTGAGTTGACCAGAATAAGCGTGTAAGGAATAAGGGACGGTTTCGACAGAGAATTTACACGATTTCGACGGGATTTATTGACGTTTCTGGAGGAGAAGTATCCAGACGATTTTGGTGGAGATTTCAGATGCTGCCAACGAAGGTTAAAGTCGGCTCCGAAGAACTTTCAAATCAGTTTCAACAGGGATGAGATTCCACACGTTTCGACGGAGTTTTCTGACGTCAAAATCCAAGGGTGTACTGACTTCTGATGCTGCGAACGAAGTTTGCAGAAAATTTCGACAGATATTCTAGAAGATTTCGACGGAGTTTACTGACGATTGCAACGGAGTGCATGGAGATTTCAGATGCTGCCAACGAAGGTACGAACAAATTCCGACGGATTAGTTTCCAGATGGTTTCTACGGAGTTTTTTGATCGAGGGCAGGTGGAGATTTCAGATGCTGCCAATGAAGATTCTATACAATCATCTTCGGAAACATCTAGAAGCTAATTCTGAAACGTGTGGGGTCAATGTCGGGCACGTCAGTAACCAAAAATTTCAAGTCGCGGGTGTCTGATTTTCCCACTGCCTGGAACCTCCATTGGGAACGTCAGAAATCAGTGTTCCTAAGAGCTAAAGGATACACAGTTAAAATAAAACATGTAAATTGACGTTTAATTGAATGTTAAAAATGGGCTACATTATTCATATCGTAATTACAGCAAATTTTCTCAGCTACAACTTTGTTGAAAACTGCTTTTCAGTCAAATGTAAGGAACAAAAGTTATTAATGATTCAAGTCACTGATGTCTTATGATTATGCTCAGTCAACTGTTCAGCAGGCAACATTGGTGTTTCTAGCGCGTAGAATTGGCTACTATGTCACACTGCATAATACAATGTTGCCCACACAACAGCTGCTTGGATAATGCCATAAGATTATCAATCTCTTAAACAATTCAAGAGCAAATTTTCATTACGTCGAAAGTAACAAAGGTAAACAAAGTCGAGCTATCAGTGTCAATCGATGCTCCTGCTATTACACTATATTCTGTCCGAATATAGGATCACATCCCATTTTTAATTGATTTTTGACGTAATCACCTTCCGATCAAAATAGTTTTCGATGTTACTTAAGTCACCCGATTTCTATGGAGATGCCGTTTGACTTAAGTAGCAGCGCTGAGAAACCCGTGAAAAGTGTACGTTCGTCGTTTCGCTTTCTCATTATTAAAGTGAATAAATCGAACTGTTTGTTGCTAAGATGATTTCGGTGGTCCTAAAATGATGAATGGGCTGCACGTAAGGAGACGTAATTGATAATTCTCCCGAATATCCTGGTCAATACACTTTGACTTAAGTAACAATAGGGGCCACCAAACGACGTATAATAGCTTTTAACTTAAAAACCAGTATTTTTAACATGAAAGCTAGCGAATTGCATTTGTATGATTAGAACCCTGCTATATATGTTAAACATTGCTATCACTATGAGATTATACGAGTTTAATAGAAAATAGGAATAACTTTTCGGTCATCAAAACAAAACTTTATTTTTCTCGGATTGGTGCGAATGTTACTTACGACAAAATGAAAATTTGCTCTTGAATTAATGACTACTTTATTTGACATTTGGCTGAAAAACGATATTCGGCAAAGTTGTAGCTTTCAAAAAATCTTATAAGAATAGTTATAGAACTTTTCAACAGTGCAATATGGAAAATTGTTTGAAGACAATGAACAAAAAGTTTGGTTTTCCATAGTAATTTCCATATAAACTTCAAATGGTTTGTGCTAGAGAGAGGAGTGGATTCAAAACAAACTGCCTTGGCATAGTATGCCTAGGTGATTTCTAGCAACACTGCCAATGCAATCAAGATAGGCACTGCTGGATTGGCTCTGGTTTTGACGGTTCGTTTGGCTCATAACCATCCAGTCCGTTCCTCTCTTATACTAGGTAGACCCTCTCTAGTTTGTGCCAAATCAGTTTCAATCCAAATGAGTTTAAATTTTACGAGGCTAATCAGGACCTGATTTGGAACCTTTTGTCTTGTATATGCTTTGCTAGGTAATAAACTGGTATTGACCTCCCAGTTTGAAAAAAAATTTTGAAAAGCATGAAAAAAATATATTACATAAACAGCTACAGAAAAAAAGATGAGGGTTGTGTGCAAAGCACGACCGCATTATTGACGTAGATTATTTATATGCTGTTCTATTAAATAATATATAAATGACAACATAAATGGTTTGGAAATTTTATTTAAATTCGAAAACCTTGATTTTTTTCACGGATTTTAACTTTCATTAGAATGCACTTGAAATTATCTTCTAATTCTCTAAAAATTCAATATTCTCTGAATTTATATCTTTTACAAATTCTCTTTACATTTTTCTCGGAATTTATTTAGAATATTCATTAGAGGTTAACCTGTAATCTTTTTTACAATCGTCATGTAATTTCACACAGAATCACTTAATAATTCTACTTTGTACTTAAACAATTGACTTGGACTCCATTGGAATTTGTATCTTACATACCTTATTATCTTTAGAATTCATTCTAAAATTTAATTTAAATCCATTTGGAATTTTCATCTAAATTATCTAATAAGTTCTTCAAAGTGATTGTATCCGGAAAATCTGGTAGTTGAGAAGATAATTATTTTCCAAGGAGAGGACGAAGTATATTTTTTCCCGGTTCATCATCGAAATTCACGGACTTCTCCCGGTTATTTATAATTTCCGGCATTTTCCCAATTTCCCGGTTCACTGTCCACCCTGTGTCCAGTATACAATAGGTCTTATCCATCTGAATAACATTACTAAAGATAGCAACTAGCCGAAAAACAGAAAACTAAACTAACTCAGAGAGTGAGTAACGAGAGAGATACATTTCTAAAAACGTTGGTCACTCAGCGCATGAGTAACCTGCGTAAAAGTGACTCACTCTCTGAATAATATTCGTTTTCAGTGAATGTAGACTGCTTAAGCAAGCCCTTTGAATCAAATGTTACTAGCGCTGCATGCTTAGTGAATTCTGAACCTAGAGGCCAATCATGCGATAGGTATTGTCCATCCAAATAACTTCACTGAATACAGAAACCTGCTTTCTGGCCGAGCTGTCAAGATAAAACATGGAATTTGATGCAAATTGCACACTGAGCTTGACTTTCCAATATCCAATTTCCAGCCGAGATGGCAAGCTAAATACATTGAAAACAAATGTTACTCAGAGAATGAGTCTCTTTTACTGATTCATATGCAGATTTTTTTTTATATCGTAGATTACTCATGCGTTGAATAACCTACGCTTTAAGAACAAAATTCATACGAATGAGTAAAAGTGACTCACAACTGAGTAAAAGTTATTCACTCTCTGAGCTATTTTCGTTTTCAGTGTGCAACGGAACGAACACCCCTGTTTATCACTCGGCAGCCAAACGATGACTGCAGTCAAACTATCAACGTTTCGCTTGCTTTGGCATTTGAATTATCATCTGCCCCTCCTTTTTTGACGTAGGACTACGTCTGTGATTTCTATATGGGGGTACACTTTGTGAAAACCGAAAATGGAACATGTAACAAAATTATGAAAGATTTTGAACGTTAATAACTCAGCTGCCCCTGGACCAATTTCAATAATTTTATCACCAATCGATCAGAAATATTTCAACGCATCTGTATCTGTAATATAAGACTTTATCATTTTTCAAAATGTTACTATTGAAAATTGCATGAATGAAAATTATCGCCGATTGCCTGCGAAAAGCTGTTTCCCTAACACCAAATTCAAAGTTGAATTCCGTCCGGTCTGACCAAACGGTGTTTATTCAATCACCGCGTGGTGAGTGGTGGTGTTCTCCAGTACACAACGAAAGGCTCCACATGAGCATCCATAGAAGGAGGAAGAAGCCGCACCGCTATTGACCGGAATCAGTAGCTCTTTGTGAGTCATTGAGGGCCATCTATGTCAAGCGGGTCATACTAAAGAGTATAAACAGAGAGAACCCCCCTCAAATTCCAATTCCTACACAAAACACAAGCTACTGCTGCAGTTAACAAATAAGATTTATTATATAAGACCACGTAGTTCTACGTCACCATTGCGTACAACCCCGTAGGGCTGTCCTTTGTAGTTTTTTTCCCCTGTATTTAGCTGATGTAGGTGAATGAATAGAAAAAAAAATGCTCGATGCCCACGCTGCAGCGAACAAGTTCGAGGTCGACCCATCTTGCAACGCTGAAGAATTATGCGGCTTCGGCTTGTGTTGTTAGAGACCAACTTTCTGATGGCTGTGTTAGGGGTGCGGTCGAAAATTTGAATGTTTGCATATTTCTTCATTGTTAACTAATTAAATATTAAATAATTATAATGTGTGACATACCACACAAATCTTATAACACTGGTGAATCGATCGACAAACAAATTATCAAAATCCATAATTTATTGGCATTTCCCTGCATTAGCACCCTTCCCGAAAGACGAAGTCCTACGTCAAAAAGGTTCAGCACAAATCAGTTACTTTTGACAACTATCCACTCTTAAATTCAGTGGAATCTTGCGCTTTCAAGAGAATTTAAAATTTGAAAATCTTAAATTTTTCACCATGTTCCGCTTGTAAAGTAGTTTTAGTTATACATGAAATTAAGAATTAAGATTGTGCAGGACAAGAATCTCACAATTGTATATTCAAATTCCCTCCTTCCCGATAGCCTTCTTGGTTTGCGTAGGCGAACATCGGTTCACGCGGAAAGAGCGTTACAAGTTTTCAAATATTACTCGAGAAATCTCACACGAGCATACTCACCGAATAGCAGCAGCAAAAAATCCGATACTGCCAAGTTGAACAGATAGTAATTGGTGGCCGTGTGCATCGACCGATTTTTGGCAATCACAATACAGATGGCCAGATTTCCCACGATACCGGCCACAAAGATGAAACAGTAGAAGATGGTGATCGGCAGTATGATACAGATGGGATCCGCTTTGGAGCTATAGTTTTCGTTCACTAGCCCGGCACCGGATCCGTTGACCAAAATGACTGCCGGTTGGTGCAGCAGTAGATCAAGTCCTCCACCGTAGGTTTCATTGATGGGTACTCCTCCTCCTCCTCCTCCTTCGTCTACGCTTTCCATGGCAAAGTTTGTGCTCGACGCTGCCGTCACCATCGCCAGATAGACTAGGGATCGGTTAACAAGGGCGCCTCCATCCGTTGGCACCTGCTGCAGCTCCATCATACCGGTCCTCACTTTTACGAGGCACCAAAATTGTCACGCTTGAGGACACGTTGTCTGTGATGAAATATCGATTCCGGAAATCCCTCTGGAGGAGTATGGGATTACGCGTCTTTGCTGCTAATCCAATATTCCGATGTCGTCAGATTGATGCGAAGGTTGGCATGCTGAAAGAAATGAAACAAACCATAAAGAAAGCGTCAGCATTTGGAGAAAATAATGAAATGCGATTTGAAACGATGTAAGCTTTCTGTCAGGAGAATTGTTTGTTTTCCTCGGATTTTGTAAAAAAAAAAGCTGGAAGAAGAAAGCTTTTCATACCCATTCTAAAGGTGCGATTGTTATAGGAAGTCAAAATCGAATTATCATAAATTCAAAGAAAGTTAAAATAAGCCACTCTGTTTCAGAAGAAGCTAGGAAGAAGCCATATCCAATGATTTTACTGATTTTACAATTAAAAAACAGCTAAGCCAGTTCAAGTACCTTCCACGAAACGTGTCCTTTTCATCATAATTGGTGAGCTTCACGTCATTGCATAAACAGCTCTGGAGACTGCCGCAGTTCCCGCAAAGGGTTCAATTTCTAGCAAACAATCTTCAGCTTGTCAGATTTCATTTATACTCAGTAGGCTCATTAAATTCATCGAATTGTAACGGATGTTACCGGCACAGGTTGACTAGCGAATAAATATCCCCAGTTGACGTTAGCATTCGTTGCTGTTAGATTAAGTGGAATGATTTCCCAAAAACAATTAATAAATTCTAAGAAAACGATCAAAGCGCACCAAAGCAATTGGTTCCTGGATGTGAAAGAAGCTGTATTGGGAAATGGCAAGCCTACAATCCCACCCCCCGGCAACAGATCGGCAAATATTGATTGAAGGGCAACTCGGTTGTATTTAGAAAAGGTATGTTTGTTATTGGATTACCCTCTATAGTAAGTCTTTTGGGTCGGCTGAGTGAAACGTGAAACTGTTGACTCAGGGCTGTTTGCCGAATACATTTCAATTTTGCTGTGAAGTTTGAAGGGAATTTAGAACGTGTGGTGGGAGACAGTGATGGCTTTCAGTTCGTAAGTATTTGTGTACAAAGTAGGTACTGCATCTCCATGTTGGTTAGTGCTTCGCTGGGTACACATCATACACTAAAAAAATTTCACGCGTTTCATCGAAGTGTTTAAACATTTGATTTTTTAAATGCAGAATCACATTTACTTTAAGTGTATTTCACCTTTGTTCAATGTGTTATACACGTTAATTTATAGTGTTTCAAACTTTGAAATGTATAAAATCTTTCACTATCTATTCAAGTGTATTGCACATTGAATCACGCTACTGTTCAAAACAGATGGATTTAAAGTGTTTTGCATTTCAATACGATGTGCATGTAAACATCGAAAACAAGAGTTGTGACTTTATCCTATCAACCCGCCTCATATATGAGAACAACCGTGGCAAAGTGAGATCGAACCTCGGATCGAACGAAGACTCTGGCAGCAGCACACCCCAACAGTTCATGATCGAATCCCAAATCAGACCCATTAAAAAGATATGTGATAGCTCTGGCCTCTGGCAGTTTTGTTTATATATTTGTCGATTAATTTTTAGAGTCGGTAAAGTAGAAGTCGATAAAGTAGAATATTGTAGAATATTGAACTATGAAGTGCAAAGCTATTGATGTCACCATATGAGGCACATAGAATCCAAGTGTGTCACAATTCAAATCCATAGTGTTCAGGCATGGTTCATAGCATAAGATTCACACATGAAATGGATGTGTTTCACAATAAGCGCAAAATTAAGTGTGAGAAACATGATAATGACGTTTGGAATTTTTTGAGTATAGGTATACTACAGCTTACAGGAATTTGCTCCCGGATGTATTGATTTGGTGAGTACGTTCCAGTTTAAGATTGCTCTTATACATATCTCGATTGCATTTTCGAGGGGACGTTCGGAGAGTTTTGAGATTTAGGCGTTGTTGCATTTGCCGGCAGATGAGTTGGTCGCCGGTAAGGGCCAGTAAGTGCTGCCAGCAGATGAATCAAGAGGTATTCGAAACAAAATTGATAAATGTCCATTCAAATCGATTTAATACAGTTGAACAAATTTCAAAACTATATACGTGCCAGATTTGGAAATAATATTTTTTTAATCTGGAAGTGTGTTTATGATACCATTATCCATTTGATAAAGGTAGAGTGAACATGCGGGGCTTATTGTAAGTAAAAGTGACCTCGGAGTGGTCGTGAATTACCAGGCATTCTGAAATGGGTCACTGGAGCTGCAATAGAGCTAACACCTTCTAACTCCCGGACTAAACCTGCTTTAATTTAAGGGTAATAAAAAGCAGTTTTCTTCCATAATAACACTGCCGGACAGTGGGGGTTAGATTGTACACACACACACACACAGGTATACTACAGCTATTAAATCCCCTACACGGAGAACCAAAACTAGTCAACGGTTGAGTTCTTTAAACCTACCTTTGAGTTGATGCCTCTCACTTGCTCTCTTGTTGTTGTCAAAAACGAAAAGAGCAAAACAACCCAAAATTGAGTTCTATTCAGGCATGGAAAATCATTTACATTCATTTCATGCAATCATTTACATTAATTTGCCTCTAACTTTTCTCATCAAAAGCATTTAGCAAAATGATGTATAGAGCTTAAGTAGGTTTTGTTATTAGCTATAACTTTTGCCTAAAACTCAAACCTGTATCTCTTATGCATCACGAATTAGAGCGGGCAGAACTTGTTACTGTTTTTCAGTGAATGTAAAATACATTCATTGAAAAACAGTAGTGGCTTCTGTTCGCTCTGGTTCGTCATGCATAAGATATAGGGATTTGAGTTGTTAGCAAAAGTTGTAGCTAATAACAAAACCTACAAAAGTTTTGTGCATTATTTTGCGGAATTCTGTTGATGAAAAAAGTTAGGGGCAAATGAATGTAAATGAATGCACGAAATGAATGCAAATGATTTTCCATGCCTGGTTCTATTCACTCAACTCGACAGTTCCGTGCGCCAAGTTAAAATTGAGTAAGTTGTGTAAAACTCAATTTTGAGTAGTTTGAACTTGACGTTGAGTGAAAGCAACTTAAAAGTGAGTAATCCTGTTTACATCAATCCTCTGCCAAAAAGGAGGGTTGCTGAAGCCACCACTATTGGTGGTGTCAGCTCTTAAGTCTACAGTTTTTATACTATATACTAATTTTTCATGATTAGCTTGCCTAATTTAAAAATTAAGATAATACATATATAATTCCTACATGTACGCGCTTGCTGAACATTTATCACGATTATTTTTCCACGCAACAAATCAAACATCTATGTGGACGGAGCATAATTTCGCAATGTTTGCATCAGCTGTCTTAGATTGACAAATAATCAAGCCAAAGAACCAACAACTTTGGCTTCAAACAAAATGTTGGTGGATGACGTTTCTGCCACTAGAGTGGTTTACATGGGAGTGAATGACAGCAACTCAAAATTGAGTTGTTGTCATTCACTCGAAAATTGAGCTAGAACTCTAAATTGAGTTGGCGCACGGAACTACCAACCTGGGTGAAAAGAACTCAAAATTAGGTACTTTTTTTTCTTTCCGTGTACATCCTGTTTAAAGCCAACATGTCTTCGATTTTGGCAATCTGGTACTAAGAGATTTCTCGCGTAACCGCGATGAAAAGGGCCTATCATCGATTGCAAACAAAAATTGTAAGACCCGATTTAATTGAAAAGTGCGTCTTTCGATTAGTTACTCCCAAACCATATTTAAATTTTTTTGATATATTTGGAACGACTTCTGGTTTGACAATAACTTAGCATCTCGACACCCTCGGCTTCATTAACGAATCAAATAGACTTCAAACCTTCGAAGAAGAATTTTTTTATTAGCATAAAGGGTGATACGGTCAAAATTTGGTCAATATCAACTTGACGTATTTCTTTCAATTTTGCATTTAAAAAACCTGAACACCCCTCATTTTGAAGGTGTGTGTGTGTAGAATGTTGCTCCTATTTTGATTTTGGAATTCACTCTTCAGTTGTCAAAATGCCGTCCAAGCAAGAAGAGCAGCGTATCAAAATTTTGCTCGCGCATCGCGAAAATCCGAGCTACTCGCACGCAAAGTTGGCAAAATCGCTAAAAGTTGCCAAATCAACCGTTACAAATGTAATTAAAGTGTTTGGGGAACGTTTGTCGACAGCCAGGAAGTCTGGATCGGGGGGAAATCGAAAACCGGAAGCCGCCGAGACGACAAAGAGAGTTGCCGGTAGTTTCAAGCGAAACCCTAACCTCTCTCTCCGAGATGCCGCAAATAAGCTGGGTGTATCGTCTACAACCGTGCATCGAGCCAAAAAACGAGCCGGACTATCGACTTACAAGAAGGTAGTGACTCCAAATCGCGATGATAAACAAAATACGACGGCCAAAGCGCGATCCCGGAGGCTGTACACGACGATGCTGACGAAGTTTGACTGCGTGGTAACGGACGACGAAACCTACGTCAAAGCCGACTACAAGCAGCTTCCGGGACAGGAGTTTTATACGACAAAAGGAAGGGGAAAAGTAGCAGATGTTTTCAAGCACATCAAACTGTCAAAGTTCGCAAAGAAATATCTGGTTTGGCAAGCCATCTGTACCTGTGGCTTGAAAAGCAGCATTTTCATAGCTTCCGGGACTGTCAACCAAGAAATTTACGTGAAAGAGTGTTTGAATAAACGTCTGCTGCCTTTCCTGAAGAAACACGGTTGTTCCGTACTGTTTTGGCCGGATTTGGCATCTTGCCATTACGGTAAAAAGGCCATGGAGTGGTACGCCGCCAACAACGTGCAGGTGGTTCCCAAGGACAAGAACCCTCCCAACACGCCAGAGCTCCGCCCAATTGAGAAATACTGCGCTATTGTCAAGCGGAACCTAAAGAAGACCAAAAAAACTGCTAAGGGCGAGCAGCAGTTCAAGGCAAACTGGCTTTCTGCGGCGAAGAAGGTGGACAAGGTGGCTGTACAAAATCTGATGGCATGGGTCAAGCGTAAGGCCCGGCAATTCGGATTTGGAAAAGCGGAAGCCTAACTGAATATTTTTCCTGAATTTTATACTAATTGAACTTGAAAAAGAAATTTAATTTGATTTTTTAAATAAATGATTTCACCGATTTACACGCGTTCT